GCACGGGTGCAATGCTGATAGTAAATATACTATAGAATGTCTTTATATACAACAATCACAGCTTTTTTGTCATTAGACAATACAAACCGGCCGGTACCTCCGCAACCGCTATGTCCCTGCATTTTAAGTCTGTAATATCTTCGAAAATATTCATTTAAATAACATGCTGTAAAGGGCCATATTGATCTATATTAAATGTACAATGTATTTAAAAGTACTTAATTGGATAAGGATTAATGATGTGTTTCTTAAAATCGCTTCGTAAATAAGCCATTATTTCTTGTAAAAAGTAGAGGATAAAAAATGGTTATTGTGGGTTATCCCTAAGAGATAGACATATACCATCCCGGACTTTTTTATAGACCTTTTTAAGGTGTACAATACTGTAGTATATTATTTTGATCTATCTCGTAGGGTTCAGCTAGCGTTTGCAATGTAAGCGCAAAAAATGTGTTTATTTACGACATCACATTACAAACCTCTAAAATTATCAGTGTTTCCTTACTATATTATGCATGTATTATACATACAAACCTTCCGCTTGAATTACTCTATCTATTAAAAAAAACCGCATTAAAATCCGTTGCGTAGTTTTAAAGATCTAAGCATACATAGGGACAGACAGCGGGGGAAATGCGTTGCATGATTTCGTTACATAGCAACTCGCATGAAACGAACTTACCCTACCGTGCGTAAAGAAGTTTCACTTCAAAAACGAAGAGATAAATGAGAAAAGGTGTATAACTCATAAAAATTATTATTGTTACTTTCAGACTGCTTCTTAAAGAACTTTGGAGATGGATATATTTTCAAATAGCAAATTATTAACAGGTATATAGATAAAAGATTCAGTATCTAATTCAGAATGACATGTTCTGCTGGACATAACAAAATGTATAGTTTAATACACGAAAATAAATAAATAATATAATAAAAGACATTGAACATATGTATTTGTATAAATGCTGGCTTATTTTGGTTTTAGTAAGATTAATTAAATGAAAGCCATACGACGAAAAGTATAGTGAATCGCCTCTGGGGCTTGAATCTTCTTTTCAGGATATATTGGTATTAATGAGATATGTATGATCCTGCAAGTTTGAAACCTTGATCTATTTTGATTTTTGAATAAAACGAATAAAGAAATCAAATATTTTTTTTCAAAAATAACTTATTTGATTTGAATAGACGCCCTTAATGGCTATATTCGTTAATAATGACAGTTCAAAATATTTAATAATAATCCTTAGAAACAGGTGATATCCTATTTAAAGAGAAATCCTTAAAGCCGAAAATTTTAAAACTTAAATCAAAATACGAGGGATGTTTTACAAAGTTCTAGGAATTTAACTATAATTTTTATTGTTTTGCTAATTTTCGTCAATACTACAATGTATATAGTTTTTCAGTATAATCTCCATTTAACTAAATACATTTATCCCAACGATAAACTAATTTTTTTAAATCGTTCTTAAAAAACATTTTCGGTGTCTTCTCAATCTACCTATTTATGACACGTTTAACTTCAGTTAAAGTTTTAAAACGAACACCCCGTAAGGGTTTTTTCAAATCTGGGAAGAGAAGATAATCACTGGGTGCAAGATCCGGGGAATAAGGTAGGTGTGGAAGCAATTCTCATCGTAAATGCTTCAAAATATCCGTCGTTTTACTTGCATTGTGTGGTCTTGCATTATCCTGTTGCAATAACAGACGCTTATGAAACTTTCCAGGCCATTTTTTGACAAGTGCCTGTCGCAGTGGTCCGGATATTAAATTCGAATAATATTTTGCGTGAATTGTAGTACCTTTCACCAGATAATCCACAAAAATAATCCCTTCGCAATCCCAGAATACATTAAGCATTACCTTTCCAACAGATAGAACTGCACGCGCCTTCATTGGAGGCCCTTCTTCAGGTTTGCGCCATTATTTGTACTGACTTTTGATCTCTGGATTGAAATAAGGAATCC